CCCCCTCTACTTGTTTCCTGCCTCTCTTTTGCGACGCAAATATATACGATCCCAATGTGGGTCGGGCTGAGACGTATCAGAACCATGATTAGAAATCGTGCAAAATGATGGTCTTGCCATTCCTGCAGTCTTGGTGGTGCCTTATGTCCTTTTCGCAAGACACAATGCCTTTTTGCAGATACACTGTACTATTGTTCTCTTTGAATCGTCCGCTGGTCAGACTCTAGTACTTGGCCTCATCAACCGACCCTTTGCCCATTTGTTAGTGGCACTGTCAATTGATCAAAACTGCTGATGTCTATTACATGGTGTAGGTTGATAGGACGTTGGGTTTCCCATTAATCTACGATTGGAGTAACCATCCTCTCGGCATCAGGTCTTGAGCCAATGTCCACTGGTAACTTCTTCACCCTTGGTATTAAAGCTTCTGCCTATCAACGACAAACTTTTCACCTTCAGTTGATAAGCTGCGACGTCAGCAACAAAGTGTCATCAATGGCAATTCCGTTAAGTGATACTTTTACTAACTTAACCCTCATTATATCAAGTGTTTGGCAGAGTTTGACTATCATCAAATCTTTAACTAAACAACGCTCAACAGAGTTGAACATTGTTTTCAATGTGATTGCAAGACTTGTAGAATGCAGAAGTTCCAATGTACTAATTCTTGGTTCTAAATTGGTGCTGTGTGACCATAACCAAAAGAACCTGTCAGATCGAGGTATATTTCCATACTGAAATGGTTCAGAGATGGGAAGAAGACATGACAAATGAGAGATATAATATTCATTCAATTAGCAAAAATCCATACCGATACCTCATTTCCCATCTCCATGGGAGCTACATGACTATAAAATACTTTTATTCAAACTCCTTTCTGTTATCCTTTCTTTTAGCAGCTACAACTCAATAACCCTACTCTACTCAAGGATAGCCCATCTTTGCATTTGAACAAGCATGCCTTTCTTCATGTGTAGCTAGTCTTGCTAAACAACTTTTAAGACCTAGGTAGCTTCAAAACATAGGAATGACAAAAGCTCTCTTGTGATAGCTTATTGTATAAAAAATTGATCCATTTCACTCGCATAATCTTTGGCCACTACAATAGGGTGTGATTTAGAAAGTTTCTCAAGTCGAAGACCTTGACTACTTTCATGAAGCTATTAGGTCCATATGTTCCATTCGCAAACAACCTCTCAATGATTAAATAGCTTACCCTCGTGGCAAATCACCCGTTCAACCATAAAGATATCCTTTGTTCCATTGGTATAAGATTGCAAAATCATTGATTTGTAACTTAATGAGCTATAAGATGGTGGCCACCCTCTTCTTGTTAGCGCGTGCGGAGTGCTTGTCCTGGTAAAAGTAAAACAAAGTTTTTTCTTGGTATGTAACCAAACCATAAATCTTCATGGCCTAGCAAAAATACTTCAAACTAAACCAAACACGCTTGCTTCCTTAGGCTGCATTTGGTACATGAGACATGACAAGACAGGACAAAACAAAACTCACTGTTCCACATTGGCACGACATGGTACCAGATAAGTACTCATTGTTCCACCTCTGACGCGACTTTGGACAGGGATTGGTTGGGATTGTATGGGCCAAAGAACGCTTTTGCTGTTGCACCAAAATAGGTGGAACAAGATGAGATAAGGATGGGACATATAATTACCAATCTACCCTCATTTGGTATAACCCTATTATAGTATTTTGGTTTAATGGTTACCACCACCCATCGTCGCCGCCACCACCCCTGGCGGCGGCAAATGCTGACCACCTTCGTGATCACCACCTTCTCCACCATCAGCTACCACTACCACACCCCACCACCAAATCGTCCACAACTGCCACCTCGACCTCCAAATCATTAAACTACATTTAGGGGCAACGTGTCCAACCCAGTCCTAGGCATGACAAACACTAGACAGACAACTTGTTCGGTTCTCTTGTTCTGTCTATTCCTGTTTAAATATATGTTCAAGCTTTGCCTGAGTCGGCAATATTAAAGTTTTCCTTCATGACTCTTAACCCTTTGACGTAGCCCATTATGGTGGTTGTATGCTTGAAGTTCTTCAACTCGGAATTCAGCCATGCTTCTTCATTCTATTCAAAATGAAACAAAACCTCCTCAGAAGTTTCTTCATAGTTCAAGTTAAGCTTATCATGATATAAGCTTGATAATATATCTCCACCTTTTCTTATGAGGATGTAAGGCAGTGTGAAAAATGTCACTCCTTCCTTAGAGTCTTGTCCGTCATGGTACGAGAAACAAATTTTGAGTACGTGAGTTCATGAATAACCTTGAGCAAAAACTAGTTTCTTCAATTAAGCTAGATGAAATTGATGCACCTATCAGACTATGGAAAAGAGCGGCTGATGATGATGATGATGATGAATCAAATAAGGCCATTGATATGGTGAACCAACTGAAAGTGTAATTGAACTCAAAGAAGAAACCAAAGAACATATAAAAAACTAAAAGTATCTTCAACATAATAAAGTCGTAGCAGTAGTAATATACAACTGGAACTAAAATTGAATCCAAGTATAGGTGTAATGATGCAGATGAAATTGATAGGTTTATGGAGAAGAGACCTGCCAT